ATGGGATCAGTTTATTTTGGAAAGACAGCATTTCTTTGGTCAATATTGCAGCTTCCAGCGTCCTCTGCATGTAAAAACCAGGAATGTTTAAGCAGCCTCTTCAGCCTGGAGTAGAAATTCCACCTGTTCCGTGCCTGACCCCCCTTTGGCTCTGTGCTGAGGTGAAACCCAAACTTTTCGTGCCTCTGCAGTTGGCAGAGCCCTGGTTTCTCCTGCCCCTCCATGGTAGGTGTGCGCCTGCCGCTCCCAAAATAAGCTCCTGGATGCGGCTCCAGCCAGGAACTGGCAGCATGAATCACTCTGCCAACGTCATCCCAGTCACTGGAACAGGGATGTGTGGAAGTTAGAGAGGCAGCAAATAACTGTGTGACGGAGCTGAGGGGAGGAATGCTGGCTCTGCCAAATCCCGGGAAGCTTTCCTTGGCCTTTGGGGATGTCAGGAGCCACGGTGGCACTTGTGACAGCTGACAGTGTCCTCTGCTGCTTCCCCAGCTGGGATTCCTGGTGCCTGGAATCAGAGAGGAGTCCAGCAGCCGGGCTGAGCTGCTCAGAATGGTTTGGGCTGGAAGGGACCTTGAGGATCATCCTATTCCATGGGCAGGGACAGCTTCCACAGCCCAGTTGCTCCAACCCAGCCTTGGGGATGGGGCAGCCACAACTTCCCTGGGAAACAAGATCCCTTGGGTGATGATTTCCCCCTTGATCCCTGTGGGAAACAGGTGGAGGAGCAGCCACACTGGGAGCCTTTATCTGAGGAGGAGCTGTTTCCCTCAGGAAAGTTGATCCAACCTCCACAGACACCCTTGGGTACAAATAGAGACAAAGCAGGAGACACTGACAGAGGAGCAGCTTGTGGCTCATGGAATCAGCCAAGCTGGAGCGATGAGCCAGCCCTGGAACACACAGGGAATGTGCTCGAGAGCGTCTGTATCTGGGAGAATTCCCAGGGAACAGGGAACAGTGCTAGCAGGGACACCGTGCCTGGGTGTTCAGAGTCCCCAGGGCAGGAGGTGACACCTCCTGACCAAACCCTTCCGAACACCCCAGGAACACGCCCCAAAAACTCATGATGGATCCCGAGGCGGGTTTAGCTCCAGCCTGCAACATCTGAGAGCGGTCCCGGCTCTCCCCTTCCCCCTTCCCCAGTCTTTCACCTACTTGGCCGTGGCCCAGCGAGAGCCTGAGCACAAGTGAGAGACCCCGAGCTCGGAGCCGCTCCGTCGTTGGCGGCGGCGCCAGGATTGGGGAGCGGGAAGTGTGAGGGAGCTGAAAGCCTGTGAATCCTGCTAAGGATAGAACGGCAGGAGGAGGAAGCAGCCAAAGCCCAGCCCCGGGAATCCGAAGCCGAGCGCTGAAGTTGGATGAGATTCCCGGGTGGGGAACACAGGCTCTGAGTGCGCTGGAGGCAAGGTGGTGCCTGGCAGGCAGGGATGTGAGCGGAGCCGCTCCGATCTGCTTCCCAAAATAGGCATTAGAGCGCGTCTTCCGAGAGGAAAGTACCAGACCGGCAAATCTGCTTCCCTTGCCCGTGGCTCCCAGGGAAAGTCCTGTCTCCCTTTGGAGCTCCAGACAGGGCCGGCCGCCAGCCAGGTTATCCCATGTTCCGGGAGGCACCGACGTGCTGCAGAGCTCCCTGGGCCCAGGGATCAGTGTCACAAGGGCACTGGGAACAGGGAAAACAGGGAACGAGGAAAGGGAGGGGGCAGCGGTGGTGCCTCTCACACAAGGTGCACTCCACGGGCTGGCCTGACCCCCCAGACCCGGGGGAACTTCAGCCAGGGCAAGTCCTCCAGCCTGCTCCCAGGGGCATCGTGCCTTTGGAAAACCATGGAGTCAGGGAACGATTTGGGTTGGAAAGGACCTTAAAGATTGTCTCATTGAAATCCTGTGCCACTATCCCAGGTTGCTTCAAGTCCCAACCAACCTAGCCTTGAACACTTCCAGGGATGGAGAGGGGTGGAATGGGATATAGATATGTGTGCTTGGGAAAAGTCAGTTATCCTGAATCCTACATATCCTTGAAGTGCCACTGTAACATCCCCAAATTATTGGATAAGGCAGGAACGGCTGGATCCCAAACATCCCCGTTTTTTGGGATATATGCACACGCTGCTGCTCCGGGGGCTGCTCTTGGGAGGAGGCTCGCAGGGAATCTGGGCTCTTCCTGCCGGGATGGGGCCGCTCTGCTCCCACCAAAGTCAAAGGAGGTTTTACTTCAGTGGAGCAGAGTTAGGTTAATGCTGAGTGTTTGGGAAAGCCCGTTCCCACTTGCCAGCCCAACTCCTCGGAGATGCTCCCGTCATTAGTTTCATTCCCCAGCAGTGCTGGGAACGGCAGCCCAGGGACTCGGATGCTCCACAGAGGCAATTGCTGCCTTGGTAAATGGGCTCCTGCTTTGTTCTCTGCCGTGTAAGAGTTGTTCTGTGAACCTTGCTCTGACTCATTTCAATCCCAGTTAAGAATCCTGCAGGAGAGGTGGGCTTTGGGATCTTAGTGGGATCTCCTGTGCCAAAAATACAGCCCTTACCCTCAGGAGTTCCCAGGAGCTTGACCCAGATTGGCAGTTCTGCTTTACAGATCATATTTCAGTAAGTTTAAGGAACAAAAAGTTGGAATTCTGTTATTTTCACAAGGGCCTAGAGGGACAGGACACAGGGAATGGCTTCCCACTGGTTTAGATGGGATGCTGGGAGGGAATTCCTGGCTGGGAGGGTGGGGAGGCCCTGGCACAGGTTGCCCAGAGAAACTGTGGCTGCCCTGTCCCTGAAAGTGTCCAAGGCCAGGCTGCAGCAACCTGGGCTAGTGGGAGGTGTCCCTGCCTGTGGCAGGGGGTGGGAATGAGGTGATCCTTAAAATCCCTTCCAGCCCAAATCATTGTGTGCTTCCATAGCAAAAGCTCCAAAATCTGTGGTTTGAGGACCTCACTCTGGAGGTGTCCAAGGAATGCCTGGACATGGCACTCAGTGCTCTGGGCTGGGATCAGTCCAGCTTGGACTGGGAGGGCTTTTCCAACCTCAGCGATTCCATAATTCTGTGGAGACATCCATGAACTCACCTGTGTCTCCAGATTTTAGTACACCACACAATAATCAGTAAGACATAATGGGGCCTCGCCTCCCGACTGCGGCTCTCCCGAAGCCGGGAATAAATGAATTCATCACAGCCACGAGGGTGAGGGGAGGGAAATGCACAGGGAGAACAAGGGCTGTGTGGAATCAAAGCCCTGGTGTCACAAAAATTCCAGAATAGAGTTCTTCCAGAGTATTGACTTGATAAGTGAAAACTTCAGTAAGACTTGGGGAGGGAGGTTTGCCAGCAGACGCGACTCCTGGGAGGTGTTGGCTGTCAGAGTGGAACGAGGCCGAAGGAGCCCTGGATATTGGTGGAGATTCTTGAGAAAGCACATCAGACTGCTCTCCATTTGATGTTTCCTCGTGGAGTCCCAGGGACTGCCCTGGAACAGCTCCTCGTGGCTGTAGTTTTTACACCTCAATATCCCCGACCCTCTGTTCAAACTCCGAGTGCTGTTCATTAAATTCCTCCTTCTCTGGAGCCGTAAACGCCGTAAGCTGGATCCTGAGAAAGGCTTTAAAGCTATCCCACAGGATCCCTGTGCTTGGAACTGATGGAACATTAGTGTCAAGGAAGCATATTATTTGAGTCTCACTATAATTAATAAACCTTTTCTCTCCCCCCCAGGAATGTGCTAAATCTCCGAGCCTCGTTTGCGTTCGGCGCGAGGTTTGGTTACCTCAGACGGGAAACAGGGGTGGGGGGGAAGATGAAAAAGGCTTTAAATATTTAACAGTTTAAACCCGACATAAATTGGAGATTTGAATAAAAAATCAGCCCGAGTATATTTGTATGGAGCTGGTGAACAGAAGGAATACACATGCTCCGAGGAATAGATTTTCTGCCAAACATCAATCAATCCCGGCTCCGAAGCCTATTTATAATACTGTGGGGGTTCTGGACGGTTGCACTTCACACTGGGAGGACCAATCCGTGGCATTATCTGGTGAACAATTGATGGCTTTCGCGAGTAATTAAAACTCTGTTTGCAAATGGAGATCTTCGGCTGCGCCCGCGGCCACGCTCCGGATCCTCGGGCTGGGGGCGCAAAGGACGAGGAGTCCATGCTGGGATTTGCCCCGGGGGGTTTCTCTCCATTTAGTGATCTTTGGGGCACAAATGTGTATTTCTTTCCCCCTTTGCCCTCGCCTCCATCCAGGGCAGCTGAGTGTTGTTCCAGACCCTGAAGCCAAAGGGAACAGACCCTCACGAGGTCCTGTCCTCCTTCTCCCAGACCCTTCTCTCTTTCTCCTCACGGTGTTTTCCAATCATTTCCGTGGCTGCAGCAGTGCCAGGCCAGGCCTCCCTGGGTTGTCCTACTTACACCTCCAAAAAGCAGGGCTGAGGCTGCCTGAGCTCCTGCACGGAGCGGTCGGAGCTGTCGGATCATCAGCCTCTCCCCACAGCCAAAAAGCAGGCTGAGGGTGGCACAGACTGAGAAACTCCTCAGGCAGTATTCCCAAAGGACGCAGGAGGGCTTGGTGGGTGTTGCATGGATGTTTCAGAGTACTTTCCACCTGGAGAGGGACTTTGGAGGGACAGGACAGGAGGGAATGGCTTCCCACTGCCAGATGGGATATTGGGAAGGAATTCCTGTCTGGGAGGGTGGGGAGGCCCTGGCTGTCCAGAGGAGCTGTGGCTGCCCCTGGATCCTTGGGAGTGTCCAAGGCCAGGTTGGAGCAATCTGAGGTAGTGGAAGGTGTCCCTGCCCATGACAGGGGCTGGAACTGGATGAACTTTAAGGTCCCTTCCAACCCAAACTGTTCTGGGATTGCAGGATTAATTCCCTGAGGATCTGCCCTGACGTGCTGAAGTTTGTCCGCAGGGAGAGCTGAGCACATTCCTGAGGAGGGGAAGCCGCGGCCGTGACCAGGGAGCTGGGTGACGTGAGACCTCGTCCTGCCCTGGCTGCATCCACAGGAGCTCCGAAGCACCGGGATGGCCGATGGATTCGGCCCTGGGGCACCAGTTCCACCGCCGGACACAGCCCTTGGCAGCCAGCCCCGGCCAGGTGAGCTGAAGGGTTGATCCCGTGGGATCTGGGGCTCGGGATGCTCCCGGTGCCCCCGCGCTAGCCCCGAGCCGGCCTCGGCCGGGCCCCGAGGGAGCGGCTCCCGGGGCGCGGGGCGGGCGCGGGTGGTGCGTGCGGCGGAGCAGCAGGGGGAGCTCAGACATCCCGCTTGGCTCCCTCCAAATGTCATTCCCTGAGACCTTCTGAGCAATTAAACCGAATTTAGCAGGAATCAATCATACAGACACGAGGGTGGGGTGTAATGAAGATGGATGTTGTTCAAACCCTTCCAAGAGTTCCTGCCGGAGCCAGATATCATCCTGGGCGGGATTAGATTATCCAAGTGACCTTAGACGTCCTCCCAGGTGGGAGCAGGCAGGACGTGCAGCCCCGCCGGTCCATTTCCCTGGTTTGCTCCTCATTTTCCAGGGTAAATCCTTCCCTGGAGCGCTACTGGCACGGCTGGGGTGCAGGGAGCACTCTGGAATCCCTGCCAGAGCAGGAGGAACGCTCCCTTCTCCGACCCCTGGTTCTGCCAGCAAAATAAACCTTTGCTTTGAGGCTGAAAATCCTGCTCAAAACCCCCTTCCCAGGTGTGGGACCAACAGGTTTAGTCTCACTGAGAGCTCCCGAATCCAAAGGCCGCTCCCGTCTTTCCTCAGAGGGAACAGGTGGGTTTCAATCCCTCTGAAGACACCAAAGTGCTCCCTTACAAAGTGACTTGCAAAGCAAAAATGATAAAAAAGGAGATTTTTTTCTTTCCCCGTTCCCCAGGGATTTTTGAGCACACGAAGCACAAAAATAATCACATAAATGACGCAGAGGAAGGAAAAAACCCCAGGATTTAGTCAGAGTCAGCAATCCAAAGGCGGCTCTGTGCTCCCTGCTGCTTCACCCCCGTGGCACGGGATTTAAGGGGCTCTTCTGCTCAGCGTGGCCAAAACCAGGGCCTGCCATCCCTGGGGACTGCGAGAGGCTGGGTGGAAAACCTCGAGGTTTGGGAAAGTGATGCTAAATCAGGTAGAGCAAAACAGGCAATGCTCGTTTTTAATTAATTAGGAGCAAAAATAGGAGATGTTGGGCACTGAGGGCACTGGCACGGCCAACTGTACTTTCCCATGCCCCACTCCCAGGGGTCATTCCATCCCCTCCACCCCAGCTCTTCCTGGCCCCTTCCCTTGAAGGACCTGGAGGGTCCCCCCAGAGCAGCTCCCCCTCTTCCCGCTCCTGGACACACACAGACTTGAAATCCAGCACGTGTGTTCCAGACAGACCATCCAGTCTGGAATGGTGGGATATCCGTGTCATCCACAGCTGTTTCCCTCCTCTGCTGGAGCTTAAATAAGTAAATATTGAAATTAAAAAACCCCTTGGCTCTCCTGAAACAATCCAGATCCGTGTCTGCCACCCCTGGGAAGACACACAGAGCATCCAGCAGATCCCCTGGCACCTCGCTTTCTTCCTTCCACGTCTTGAAGTGGGATTTTGCTCCCGAAATTAGAATTTCCCTTGGGAAATACTTATATTAGGGGAAAGAAAATGTCCCTGGGAGCAGCAGCCAGGATTCAAGGCAGGGTTTGTCACCCTAACCCTGAGCTCAGGATCTCGTGGTCCTTGTGTTTCCCTCATCCTGGGATGAGCTGTGGGTTCCTGCCCTGGCAGGGGGGAGCAGGGGGAAAACAGGACTCAGTGGACAGCCCAGATTTTGGAGCTTCCCTGCACAGCTCTGGGCCTTTTTACATGGAATTTTCACACAGGGCTTGGCTTCAGGTGCACGTTGCACTTTCCCCCAGGGATCAGGTTGTTTTGTGTCAACCTAAAACAAAAGTGGCAGAAAATCAGCTGAGTTTTCTGGGATTTCACTACTGTGCTGGGAAAAGAGGAAACTGGCTTTTCCCTGGAAGGAATGCTGCTGCTCTTCCCTAATTTCTCTAATGACATTTGATATTATGGTGATGATGCCTTAGAAAATACATATGATAATCATTATAATCAAGCACATGTGTCTGGAGGCTGTAATAGGTGCATTCTATAAATTAGAAAATAAACATGTGTTAAGGAATGAGCTTTAATATTAATTTCCATTTTTAGAAAGCAAGGTCCCAGATCCAGCTGGGGATTAAGGAGCCAAAACGGGATTTTATAGAACTGTGGAATGCCAGAATGGTTTGGGTTGGGAGGGATTTTAAGGATCATCCCCTTCCACCCCCTGCCATGGGCAGGGACACCTTCCATAGCCCAGGCTGCTCCAAGCTCATTCCTTCTCAATGGACTCACATGGAAAGAGCCCTTTCTGGACCTCTCAGGCAAGTCCAAGAGCTGCTGTAAGTCACAGACACCGCGCTGGCTCCAGTGATCTCCAGCTGGGAATGCAGCCCTGCGTTCCCAGACAGCTCCTGGGATTTACCATCGGAAGTTTAATCCCGTAAGGAGGGGTTTGTTACCAGAACACATGGATAGCTGTGAGCAGAGTGTGTGGACTCCCCACCCCTGGAAGTGTCCAAGGCCAGGTTGGAGCAATCTGTCTAGTGGAAGGTGTCCCTGCAGAGGGATGGAACTGGATGGTCCTGGAGCTCCCTTCCAACACGAACCATTCCATGATTCTGTGATTCTGTGGCTTTGGGAGGAGGAGAAGAGCAGCACTAGAAGGTGCAGAGTAACCCTGGAGATGCAGTTAGCACAGCAGGCAGGAACCACGCGGATTTGGCCTCTGGACTGGGGATCTGAGCGTTCCCAGGCCCCGGCCCTCGCCCGCAGTGCCTGTCCCGTGGGACCCCCTCTGCAGAGCCTATGGATTCCAGGAGCCATCCCTGTCTATTGTGTGCCTACACCATTCCAGGACGGGCAGGAGGTGCGCAGAGCCATTTGCCTGCCGGAGCCAGTTGTCCCATGCTGTGCCCTATGGGAAGCCACTGATTCCTACACTTGGAGCAGGGACAATGCAACTTAATCAGAGTGACAGGAAACAGGCAGCAATTACAGTGTGCAGCTACATCTGCTGGGTTCCACTTCACTGGAGGAAGAGTTATCTCAATTTTAATGTACAGCCCCTTTTCATGTTTCATTTAACCTCTGCTGTATTATTAAACCATGGCAAAATAGAACCACGGTCGTTAGGGGGGGAAAAAACCAGGAAAACGAGAACATTTGGGAGAATTTGGACTCTTCCCCCTTCATCTGTAATTTAACGGTGTGGGTTTTACTTCCCTGCGCATTCCGCAGGCTAATTTAATATATAGGTTTGTTTGTTTTAAACACCAAGTGCAAATGCAATCCTACTCCTTCCAGACTCCACGGGAAAATGACTCTGGATCCACTGGAAGCGAGATGTGACCTGCTGGTGCTCAGCCTCCCGAATTCCCACAGCAGAACGAAGCCTCCCCAGGAGATGCCTCGTTTGCCCAAACTGTGCTGCCAACCCTGAGGGGTTCTGATTGCCAGTGTTCGTGGCACAGGAATCGCTGGGAATTCTTTAGGAAGGGGGAAGGGGAACCAAACCTGGATGGGACCATTCCGGCTGCTGAGGAGCTGGGCTGTGCTCCCCCTCTGTGAGCTCAGGGATGGAGGTCAGTGCCTCCATCCATGGAGAGGGTAACCCGGGAATGTCCCCATTTGAGCAGCAGGCACAAAGTGTGGCTTAGGAATCACTGGGATGGAAACAGGAGCAAAAGCTTTGGGATTGGGGTCAGTGTGAAACACCAAAGGTCTTGGCTGTGGGGTTTGGTGCAGAGAGGGTTATGGAATCCTGGAATGAATCCCAGAATGGTTTGGATTGGGAGAGACCTTAAAACTCATCCAGTTCCACCCCCTGTTGTGGGCAGGGACACCTTCCACTAGCCCAGGTTGCTCCAAGCCTGGCCTGGAGCACTTAACCAGGAATGAGGCTCAGGAAACACCATCCTGGAGTGGATCCCTCGGCCCCGCATGGTCACAGCGATGCCTTTCCTCGTTTCCTACTCGAACTCCCTGGGAAAGCTCTTGGAGCCCCACAGAGGCAGCTCAGCAGCAGGTGAGAACTGCAGCCCCACTGATGGGAATGCTCTCCTGAATTCCCACATGGATCCATCCTGCAGGAAGGCAGGGGGAGCTTCCAGTACATGTTTTCTGGTGCCAATCTAAAACTCCCTTGTCTCAGCCCTGGAAGCATCCAAGGCTGGGGTGGACAGGGCTTGGAGCAACCTGAGCCAGTGGCAGGTGTCCCTGCCCTTGGCAAGGGGTTGGAACAAGATGATCTTCAAGATCCCTTCCCACCAAACCATTCCATGATTCCATAATAAACTAAGGTGACAATTTTTTAAATAAAAAATATCGGAGCAGCTCCTCTGTCTGGAGAACAATGAGGATCCCAACCGGAGGGGGTAATCAGCTTCTGAGGAGTCTTTCATCTAACAAGGGCATCTTCAGTGAAGTTGCCTGAAAAAAAGGTGCTGTGCAATTGCCAAAGACCTCCCCTGTATTCCCAGGATTCCTCTGAAGCACCCTGTGTGAATCGGAAGGAAGCTGGAAAGCCTTCTGCAGGATCCTGTAATGGGATTCATTCCACGGGGGACGGCATTCCACGGGGCATTCCACGGGGGACGGCACCGTACTGCATGTTAATAAAGGGCTGGGGAGAGCTAAAGGGGGGAACTCAGGAGGGATACTGGGGAGGAATTCCTGGCTGCAAGGGAAGTGAGGCCCTGGCACAGGTTGCCCAGAAGCTGTGGCTGCCCCTGGATCCCTGGAAGTGTCCAAGCCAAGGTTGGAATAACCTGGTCTAGTGGAAGGTGACTGGTCAGAATGGGATGAGCTTTAAGGTCCCTCCCAGCTCAGTCCAGTCTGGAATTCCATGGACTATCTTGTCTAGATGTGGTAGGAAGGTGTGAGCTGGCACTTACAAACAGTCCAGGGAAGTGAGTGTGCCCCAGCCAAGGCAGGAGGAAGCTGAGCACAGAGAGGCTCAGCTGGAGGTGTTGATGATGAAAGCAGAACTGCCCAGGAATGTGCTTTAGGATTTGGGAGTGCAGGGCCCCAGGAGGTTGTTGGTTTGGGATCAGGGGCCTGTAACTTGTGCTGTGTGGCTGCTCAGCCGAGCACAAGGCAAAGCCTCGTCCTGTTGAGCCAGCCTGTGGGTTGGAGATGAATTATTCCGTTTGCTTTTCATTTACTTTGATTTTCTCTCTATTTCCTATTCTCTAAATTAGATAACCCTGCCTTGATTTAAGGTAATTCGCCTTTACTGACTATTACTTAAGGCTGAGCATTTGCAAAGCCATTCCAGGAGGGGAGGGAGAGAAAACCACGGAAATTTAGGGTTGGGAGGAACAAACGGAACGTGGATACGGAAGGGAAAGATGTGATGAACAGAGAGCTGGCCACTCCTCAGCCCAGGAGCTGCCTTTGACCGATGCCACCAGCTTTTCCAGGGCTCCACAGACACTCTGGAGCTTCCTCTGTGTATCCTGTGCTTCCAAATTCCATGAGCTGAGCTCCTGACAGTGCAGCAACAGGGACCCATGAGCAGGAAAACCGAGCTGGATGAGGCCCCCTTTTCCTTCGGGGTTATGGGGAGACATTACGGGCTCGGACAATTTAACTGCCTCTCACTGATCTCACACCCTCGACCTCATGGAAATCTTTCCCAGATTAATGTGGGATCTCTTCAGGAACTGCTAATCTATGCAAGGCAAATTGTTTTGGATTTCACTGGCCCATGCCTGCCCCTCCTGTAATTTGTAACTGCTGCTGGCAGTGACAGGGACTCTCCATCATGCACTGTGGCACCACCAGACCCCAAACCCATTAACAGTGGCCGAGGGCTGAGGGCACAACACCAGCAAAGCACCTCAGCGGCTCCACTCGGAATGTTTGTCCATGGGGCAGCTCTTCCCGTGCATTGTGGTGCTTTAGGCGTGGGAGAATGGGCATCCTTTGGGTTGGACCCACTGGGCTCGTGGGAGGTGTCCCTGCCCATGGCAGGGGGTGGAATGAGATGGCATTTAAGGTCCCTTCCAACCCAACCCATTCCATGACTCTGTGGTTCTACGATCCAAGCTGCATCCATCTCCTCCTCATGCCCATGGCTCCCTCCTCTGTGATGTGCCTGCCTGAGCCCCCTCTTGTCGAGAATCAGGATGTTCCACCTCGTACAGAGACAGATCCTTTCGGATCCAAATGTCTCCGAGAACAATTTTTGCCTGGAGAATGTTCCCTCGCTCCCATCTGTGCGGATCACAGTTGGAAACGCCGCCTGCACTTTCCAAACTCTTGCCTCTCCAGAAAAAAAATAGCCAGAGCAAACTACAAAACACAGAAAACAAGGAAAAATCCCAACACATCAAATGGATATGGAATAAAAAGTAAGGAAAGGAAACGCCGAAGGAATGGATCCTCGTGCTCCGTTTGTTTTGCCGTCTGGCAGAGCCAATAACCCCTCAGCTGACGTGATGTGCACACCCCCCAGTCCCGGTTAGTGCTCCCTGGCACACCTCGGCAATGCCGCCGTGTGCTCCGGTGGAACTGTGCCTCGGTGCCTTCCCCGCTCTGGGGCCGCTCGATATTAATGGGCTGTCACAGTTCCCATTGTTTTCCCATTGTTTTCCCAGGCCTGCAGCTGCATTCTTACACAGGTGCTTGGCAGAGCCGAGCGCGGCTCTTTGGGCTGCCGGGCCGAGACAAACTCCCTCCCTCGGCACATGGCCGGGAGTTACTCCCGGGACAGCAGCGCTCTGCCCAGCCCGCCTCCTGCTCTCCCTCCTCCTCCTGCCCCGGACCCCCGCCCTCCTCGCGCATCCCGGCGAGGAAATGAAACCCCGAATCCCACAGCGGGTTGGGTGGCGAGAGACCTTTAGGCTCGTCTTATCCCACGCCCTGCCACGGGCAGGGACACCTCCCGCTAGCCCAGGCTGCTGCGAGCCCCGTCCTGCTGGCCTTGGACACTGCAGGGGTGGGGCAGCCACAGCTTCCCTGGGTGACCTCACACGCAGCCCCTTCCCAGCACTGGAATTCCCCTTCCCCTGAGCTAGTCAAACTTCACCCACCCATCCCAGGGCTCCAGGCATCTGCCCTTCCAGGCTGTCTCCATTCCTGGCTTCAGGAGCTGTGACATTTGGGAAGGACCTTGGCTGGTGGCAGGTGTTCCTGCAGGATCAGGGTGTACTCAGCAGGGAGGGGCTTTCCCAGGGTCGGTGACTGAGAGCAAGAACTTTGGGTGCTGGGAGGTGCCAGCTGGAGGTGTCTTAGCTTGGATTAGGTTTAGGAATATCAATTGTTTCATCCAGAGCTTCAGACTAGACCTGGAAAGTCACATCCTATGAACCTCCTGGCTACACCTTCTTCAGTGCAGACATGAAGCAACACTCCTGTGGCCGAGCACCGGCAGGACAAAAGGGAAGCTCCAGGTGAGCTAAGTTATAAATGATCCTCATTTATTATAGAGTTGGATAGTCAGCCGCTGTAAATCCCTGACTCCAGCCCCACCAGCCTGCTCCTCAGCTCCTTTATCCCTGGAAGTGCCCAAGGCCAGGTTGGATGGGACTTGGAGCAACCAGATGTACTTTGGTTTTGTGTTCTTTCCCTCTCCTGCTTTGTTTTCTCCTTAATCCCTCATTTCTTCTCAACCTTTTAAGCTCCCTCTCTACAGGCAACACAACCAATGTATCTGAGCAAGGCCCTGGAATTCCTGCTGGGGAACGGAGGTTGTTATATCTTAGGGAGAACTCCCTGCCCTTCCAGGACCCCTTCGGACCCGTTCTTTGCTATTTATCCACAGTTAGTGCATATCGAGGAGTGGCAGAAAGTTGCAGTCAGGAGGTTCTGGGGTGGCAACTTGCAGCTCTTCCCAAGGAGCTCCAGGCAGAGGGAGATCAGTGCCCATGTTCCCGTCTCGTGTGTGGGAGGTGGCCCAGAGACAGTGCAGAGACACGTCTGTGTCTCTGAGGCTCCAACTGGAGTGTCTGGAGGCTCCAGCCAGAGCTCTGCTGAAGGGTTCCACCAGCCCAGGTTGCTCCAAGCCCTGTCCAACCTGGCCTGGGACACTTCCCCAGGTGGGGCAGCCACAGCTCCTCCACTCAGCTTCTCCTCAGCAGCAGCCACCCTTGGAGCTCTGCTCCTGTCCTCCCTCTTGTTCAGCAGAGCTGCTTTAGAAACCCAGTGCTGGCTGAATTTCTAGTCCTTAAAACATTTGCAGGAACACAGGTTTCATCCCACTCAGTGGATTATCCCAAAGAATAAGAAATATTGGCACAAACATCGCTCCGGTTGGGGTTTGTTCGATAACAAAGGGAATAATCGGGAAGCACAGGAGAAGTCTGGGGGCCTGACACAAAAATCTGATGGCCGTTGATGCAATGACATCTTTCCTCTTCCTGAGTGGATTAAGAAAGATCTACTTCCAAATTTATAGAATCCCAGGATCACTGAGGTTGGAAGAGACCTCCAAGGTCATGGAGTCCAAGCTGGGACTGATCCCAGAGCACAAGTGCCACGACCAGGCGTTCCTTGGACACCTCCAGGGATGGGGATCCACCACCTCCCTGGGCAGCCCCTTCCAAGGCCCGACCACCCTTTCCAGCAGGAAATTCCTCCTGGTGTCCATCCTGACCCTCCCCTGGCACAAGGAATTTGTTTCCCTCCAAAACATTGTAACAGGTTTGCCATGAAAATTAATTTGAGTAAAATTTCCTTCCTCGTGTTCCCCCCAAATAAACAACTTCTCCCAGACCTGGAAATGATATAATTGTGTGTCCAGTTCACAGTATTTAAATCCAACCTCAATCTCTTTATTAAGTACATGTATTTTTTTTGAGGTTAGATTATGTCCTAGGCTGTTCCCATAAAGCAAGGGTTGGAATGTCTATGGTTTAATAAAAGGAGATTAATATGGAAATGAAACAAATCTACTGTCAGAAAAATAAGCAGAATCAAAATCCATTTAACTGAAACCTGCAGCTCTTTATATTTAAATCATAATACACTTAGAGCAGTAGCTTCCCTAAAAACTGTCCTTGTCCCAGATAGCCCTTTATCCTTCCTTCTGTGTTCCTTGTCAAGGAGCTAATTCAGGCAGCTAATTGGGACAATAACTAATCCAGCCACCATGTATTCCCCCAATTATTCCCTTCTTCATCCCTTTCCTATTCTTATTCCCATGTATTTTTTCCAGGAGCTTGTAATTCCATTATAAGTACAAGCGAGGGATGGCAGTGCACGGTGCTCAAACCAAGGGTGTCTGGTGAAATTCTGGCGGTCTGTAATCAATAATAAATACTAATAAGACAAATAATATATAAAAATAATGTATTATAATAACAACCACCTTTTTTTGCCATCAATGGAGGGACTTCAAAGACCACTCAATAATTTAAATAATACCGTGTGGGTGAATAAACTGTTAAATCTTGTAAACTCCCTCCAGATGATATTCCCAGAGAAGCTGTGGCTGCCCCATCCCTGGAAGTGTTCAAGGCCAAGTTGGAATGGGAATCCACAGCTTTTCTGGGCTGTACTTTAGTCACCAACTAGATTCCAATCAGTAGGGAAATAATAACAATAATTGTGTTTTTTAATTGCTTTTCACTGTTTAATCTGCTTTGACACATCTCCAAACAACATCCCTCTATAATTTAATGAAATATGTATATAAATGTTTTCAGGGAAAAACATATTTCCAGATGCTGGTTCTTTAGGAAATAGGAAAGATTCCTGCTGAAATCTTGATAAGAAATTGCTTTATTGTGTTTTTTGTGCTCCTGTCATCACAACCTATGGATTTCCATACCGACCTACATCTGCCCATTTCCAAAACCTGAAAATACATGGAAAATCTCATTGCATCCCCTGCACCTCTTGGCCTTTTCCCAAATCCACTGTTTTCTCCCTAATGGGCTCCGTTATTCCATACCCATTAGTAGATCCTCAAATGATGACATTTCGTTTTAATTGAAATCAAACATCTCATTCCATTAGGGAATTAGAAAACAAACCAAATTTTAATCGGAATTCATACAAGTCCAGAAGAATATTTTCCTCCCTCTGAGGTTATCTTTCCATGGAAATCGGAGGCATTTTTTGATGAAACTTATCTTAGTTAAGCTTCACTGAAATGGGTGAATTTAAGGTCCCCTCCAACCCAAACCATCTTCATGTTGACCCCATGAAGCTCAAAGAGATATAATAGAGGTTGCGTCGAAATTCTGAATTTTTTTTGGCTTTGTTTTCCTGCTTTTTTGGAGGGAATGGGGAGTCTGATAAAATTTCCAAAGTGTATCTGCAAATCCATAAATCCACTGAACAAGTGCACTCTCGTTCATGGATTTATGGAAAGCCCCATTTAGATGTCTTTTTACAGGAATGACAACGGGCACAACCATAGCCCCAAACTGGAGCAAACTGGAGTCTGGTACTTTGCCATCCTGGTATTACAGTTTACAGACAGCGTAAAAATTCCTTTTGGAGTTCCGGAATATCAAGGTGAGACTTTTTGGCCAATTCCTGTACTTTTGACACCACTTCCAATGTTCACAGAGCATTTCAGCTTCCCAGGTGCTGCCCTGGCGAGGGCCGGGGGGTCCGAAAGGCGGGAAACCCCTCACAGGGGCTGCTGAGGGCTATGGAGGCTGAGAGGCACAAAACTCTTCAAGGGTCTGCTGAGAAATGGTGAGGTAAAAAACACTTAAAAGGGTCTGCTGAGGGTTGGGTTGGGGGGCTGAGGGGTCTGAAACCCCTAAAAGGGTTTGCTGTGTGTTGGGGGTCTGAAACCCTTGACAGGGTCTGCTGAGGGCTGGGGGGTCTGAGGGGCACAAAACTCTTTGAGGGTCTGCTGATGTTTGAGGGGAATGAGGAGTCTGAAACCCTTGACAGGGTCTGCTGAGGGCTGGGGGGTCCGAAGGGCGGGAAACCCCTCACGGGGCTGAGGGCTCAAAATGACGGGAAACCCCTCACAGGGGCTGCTGAGGGCCGGGGGGGCTGAGGAGCGTGAACCCCTCACAGGGGCTGCTGAGGGCTATGGAGGCTGAGAGGCACGAAACTCTTCAAGGGTCTGCTGAGAAATGGTGAGGTGTGAAACCCCTAAAAGGGTCTGCTGAGGGACGAGGGTCTGAGGGGTCTGAAACCCCTCACGGGGTCTGCTGAGGGATGGAGGGGGACACAAAATGGCATCTGATCATGGCTGGAGGGGAGAGGGGTCTGAGGCCCCTCAAAGGGTCTGCCGAGGGCTGAGGGGTCTGAAACCTCTCACGGGTTCTGCTGAGGGGCATAAAACCCCTAAAAGGGTCTGCTGAGGGCTGGGGGGGGTCATGAAATCCCTCACAGGATCTGCTGAGGGCAGTGCAGGCCCCCCTCACAATGGGGGGCAGTGGGGACCTCCCTCGTGATGGCGGCAATGCAAACCCCCCTCATTCTGGGGGGCAGTGTGGATCCTCTTCATTATGGGGGGCAATGCAGACCCCCCCCACGATGGGGGGGCAGTGTGGGCTCCCCTTACAGTGGGGGGCAATGCAGACCCCCTCACGGTGGGGAACAATGCAAACCTCCTTCCCGGCCGGGGGCAGTGTGGACCCCTGTCACGATGGGGGGCAATGTGGGTCTCCCTCACGGTGGGGCACAATGTGGACCCGTCTCATGATGGGGGCAACGTGGACCCCCCTCATTAATGGGCGACAATGCGGCCCCCCCATTAGGGTGGGCAGTACGGACCAACATCATTCCGGGGGGCACCGCGGGCCCCCTGATTAACAGGGACAACGCGCCCCCCCCATTCGGGGGGGCAATACAGCCCCTCGTCATTCCGGGGGGCATTGCAGACCTCCATCATTAATGGAGCCAACGCAGCCCCCCTCATAATGGAGTCGGTGCGGCCCCTCTCGCTGACGGGCACAGCGCGGCCCCAGCCCGGGGGCAGCGGCCCCTCTCCGCTGGGGGGGCGGCGGGGTCCCTCCATCTTGTGCAGCCCCGGCGCGCCGTCCCGCCCGCTTCCTCCCGCCCTCCCCTCCCTCTCCTCCTCCTCCTCCTCCTCCCGCTGCCCGTCACGGCGCGGGTTTATAAGGCGCGGGCATTGCCCGGATGTGAGCGGCGGGCGCTGCGGCGATGCCCGGGCGGGCTGCGAGCGGCCGCGGCTCGGCGGGGGAGGCCGCGCTGCTCACCCGGACCGCCCGCCCCGCGCTGCCCTAAACTCGGACCAACTCTGGGAACCGCCGGCCCCGCGCCCCCCCTGCTTCTGGGTGGGTTTCTTTTTTTTTTTTTTTGGATTTGTTTGTCTGGGGTTTTTTAAATTTTTTTTTTTCGAAAGGAAGGACAAGTCCCCGAGAGCCACGGCGCCGCGAGCCCCTCACCATGTGTCTGTAAAAAACAATAGGGCAAAAGTTGTCGGACCTTCTTTTTTCTTTTTCTTTCCTTGTTTTTATTTTTTTTTATTTTTTATATGTATTTTTTAATTTATAATTTTTTTTTTGGCCCCCCAAATCCCAACAAAGCCAGGTGTAGGGTGCCTGTAAAAGCTGTGGAATAAGCCGGAGCGGGACTGACACTTTCCCTACTTTTTGGTGGTTTCGGAGGGTCACACACGTGTGAGACAATAAAGCACTTTGGCAGAAGATTCCTCTCTTTTTATTTTGATTCTTTTGATTCCTTTTCTTTTTTTTCCTTTTTTTCCCCCCCTTGGAATATTGTGAACATATTTGTGGCCATTTAAGGTAAAGTTCCGATTTGCTGTTAGACTAACTTGTCTGTGTATTTTTTTTGCTTTCATTTTTATTTTTTGATTGAAATTGTCGATCCCGATGTGTTATTTTAAAAAAAAAAAAAAGAAAAGAAAAGAAAAAAAAAGAAAGAAAGAAAGAAAGTGCAAGTTCCGGGCTGTTGAAATAGATATACATTGTGTATACATTGCATAGACACGGTGTAACTACACGTGTGAGAGATACACCAAGGTGCAAACGCCGGGCGCGGGGACTCGCTGCTTTATTTCCTACCGGAAAATGAAATCCAAGGAGTTGTTTTTTAGCGGTGTCGGGCCTGCGAGAGGAAAATACGGAATAAAAGTGGCAGAGGGGATGAGGGAAGCAGGAAGGGGAAGGGCGGGGGGTTGCTGGCAGCGTCCCCAAAAACTTGCGCGTAAATCCAAGCGGCTGCTTTGCAAAGTTTGCAGCGATGCTCCGGGAAAGCTCGGGGCTGGGATCGAGCGGGAGGGCGGGAATAAACCGGCCCCGACAAAGCAAGGTTAGAGAGAGAAATATAAAAACCTCAAGAATACGAACGGGGAGCGGGCGATCCAAAGGGGGGAAAAAACCTTGTTCCTGCCGGCCAAGTCCCCGCGTCACGTGCGCCCGCGGCCCCGTATAAACGCGCTCGCCATGTGTGTGCGCGAGCCGGGCGAATCCAAAGTGGAATCCTTGGAAAAGTGCGGCGGGAGCGGGCGGGAGCCGCTCTCGGAGCTCCATGAGCGGCGGCGGCGGGTACGGAGGCGGCGCCGGGGCTCGCCGGGGTCGGGGCCGCGGGGCTGGGCTGGGCTCCGTGCCCCTTCCCTTCCCTCTCCCCTTCCTTCCCTTCCCTTCCCTCGGCTCCCCTCCCCCCGGGCGCTGCCTCCGCACAGGCCCAGCCGCTCCCGGCTTGTTGTCGGCCTTATCCCCCCCCTCCTCTCCGCAAATTAGGAATCGGGGCTAATTGTCCCCCGCTGCCCCCCCCCGCCCCCGGAACCTGCACTTCGCAGCTCGCCGTGCCTTTTTTTTTTTCCTCCTCTCGCTCTTTGCCGTGTCTGCCTCCAAACGCTCCTTTGCGTGGAAGAAGGAGAAGGGAAAAAGTTGGGAGCGGATGGCTGTAGTTTCTTCTCTGGGATCCTCATTCATTCCTCGCTGAACCTCCTGTTGCATAAATGATGCTCCGGGAGCGAGGCTTTGCCTGTTTTTTTCTCCTCTGGATTTGGGTTTAAGAGTGGATGTTCCCGGGTTTCGCCTCTTTGGAAATACAATATCGCCTTTTTTTTTTTTTTTGCTGCCCCTCCATCTTTTTTTTCCTCCCTCTTTCTTCTCAACCACCCACCCCCCGACCCCCCTTGAAAAAAAGCAAAATCCGACTGTGTTTCCTGCAAGGCTCGGGATTTCTGATTGCGGTTATTTCCATGTTTCTAGGTTTGTGTGATTTTGCTAAAATGCATCACCAACAGCGAATGGCTGCCTTAGGGACGGACAAAGAACTGAGTGATTTACTGGATTTCAGTGCGGTAAGAAACAACGGTGGAAATTAGCAACAGCTGTTAAAAAACCCAAAATCTTCTAGCTGCTCTGTTAACAAAAAAAAAAAATCCAACCCTCCCCTCAAAAAAAACCCCTAAAGCGACAAAACCAACCCCAAACTGTGCTCTAAGTACATTGGGCAATTTTTAATCAGCAGCTAGAAGCACGGTAAATATCTGTTTTTGCTTAAAAAAAAAAATCCAAGCTGAGTGTTTGGAGTCTTTCTGATTGTGTGTGATGGGAGATGCAGGCGCGTTAGCAGCTTGGTTTCGTGTCTCGGATGGCTCGAATAATTCCTGCCAAAAGAAACGCCCCAAAAACTGACCATTTCTCATCATTCCTCCATACCAATATTGCACTTTTACCGTGCTTTAGATTTGCGAGCGTGGTTGGCACATGAACTAATTAATTGCTAATGAGTCGCTGATATTCTCCTTTCGGTTCTTCCCTTGTTTCGTTTTTTGGCACATGGAAAGTGCAAAGAAATCCACGACTGTCTCAGTTTAAAGTTTTCCCTGAAATCTCCTCTGGCTTCTGCTGGCGCTAAAGCTGCTCCGACCTTCTCGGCGCGGCCCTGGGCAGGGGTTTGGGGCGTTCTTTTCGCGGGGAAAAAGAGGTTTTTGTCCCCCTGGGCTGGTTTGGAGGCCGAACGTTCCGCCGGACGCGTGCACTTGTCTAGTTTTGTCAGGCTCCCCCTCCCCCTCCAGCCCCTTCCTTCCTCTCCCCATCCCCTCCCTTCCCCCCAATATGTCAGGAATATCTCTCTATCCACTTAGTTATTTATTTTAGGGCAGAGCTTTCGCTGGGAGATGCGGGGCCGCTCCTAAAGCCCGGCGAGCCCCCCCCCCCTCCCCCGCGTGCTCCAGGCTGGTGCTGCCGCTCCAGCCTCGGCTTCCGAGGGATGGCTGCGGGAAGTTTGGCCGGGAATCGTAGCCCGCGGCAGCTCCGCAGCCCCCTCTCTGCTTGTCGGTGCACTTTTCCCATTTGTTCCCTGGCTTTTTGCAGGCTCTGACTCAGGGAAGGTGCGTATTATCCACCAGACGCGTCGGAGAAGGGAGAAACCAATTAGGGTCGGAATAAATGCTGGGAAGAGAGAGAGAGAGGAGCGCGAGAGAGGGAGGGAGAGGGGGCGAGGAGCGAGCCTGGCTTCCAATTGCTCGGTGGGAGAGACGGGATGAGAATTTAGGGCAGGTGGCACTTTGCATTATTGTTATTTGGGTTCCCACATGCCAGGCAAATCCTGGAGCGGGATGGAAGTGGACGTTGCTACATTGATGGCCAAGGTTGCGACCCAATCCCAACTTTTTCCGCCTTTGTCGGCGGGGAGAGCGGAGCCAGCCCCACTTCCCAGGCTGGAGAGCTGCCGGGCACTGGGATGGCTCGAAGTCTTCGGGAAGGGCAGATTGTTTGGGAAGCTAACGAGCCTGAGAAAAGCGGCACGCTGGTGGGGGCTGGCAGGAATCTGCACTCATTTGGGGGATGATGGTTCGGGGGAGAGAAACTCCTGAGGACCGTGGAAGGAACTTTGGACTGCCAGAGGACTCGGGAATCGCTTGTTTTCCACTAGTAACGCCTCTTTGTTTTTTTTTTAGATGTTTTCACCTCCCGTGAGCAGTGGGAAAAATGGACCAACTTCCTTGGCAAGTGGACATTTCACTGGCTCAAGTAGGTACCGTTTTTTGTTCCCTCTGTGGTGCAAATGCTGTGATTTATTTCTCCACGGGCTTTACCTTTGTTGTGGTGCTTTAATCTCTCGTGGAGAGCAGATCTGTTCGGATTGGAGCAGAATTATTCCTAAGCACCGGTTATGATTATTCTGATTTTTATTATTTCCACGAGCCTGGGAGGTTTTTAGAGCACTGCAACACATTCCTGATTTTTGAAAAAACCCTGAACTTCCCCTCTGTGTAACTGCTGTTGAAAATTGTTCTGATTTGAAAGTAGGTTTATCTTTTTCCTTTTTTAATTTGAGCCTCGGAGAATTTTTTTTATTTCCAATTCCAAAGACTCTCTTTGTCTGGGAGGGATGAGAGTTGAAACCTCTCGCGTGCAAATGAATTTGGTGAGTCAGAACTGAAGCAGAATTGAAGCCGAATGGGAGGCTACTGCAATTAAATATAGAAATCACAAGTATCTGAGGATAAAGGGCAGGAAGGGAAGTGTTTAGGATGAGAGAGGATGGAATATTTTTTGTGAATGGAACCCTTTCGGTCACTTTCTCGAGCTGGGGCATTTTGCTTGTGAATATCAGAGCGTTGCAGAAGCAGGATTTGTTTGTTCTTTGGCTGTGGTGGGGCTGGATGGGCAAGTGCAGCATTCCCTGAAATCGGGAGTGGGATGACAAAGCGATCTCGGAGCTCTTGGCGGTGGAACATGTGTGGACAATAATTGTCTGGCAACTCCAGTTTTATAGGGAGGCTTTTATGTGCCTGACAGATGAGAAGGCAAACTCCCAGAGATCCTTATTGCCCATTTCCCTGCCCCGGGATGCAGTTGGTGTTCCTGCCCCAGCCCCAGGTAGGGAGCTGCAGTGTTTACAGCTCCACGTGCCAATGCTCCGGCCGTCGGCTTGTACCCGGATCCTGGGCAAACCAGGGGGGAATTCGGGCACGGCTTCCCTGCAAACTGCCCCTGGATATCCGCCTCGTTCCAAAGGGTTTCATGCCCAATATTCCCAGCTTTTGCTCGATTCAAGGCACCCCTTCTCTTTATCCAGCATTTCATTAAGTGCACTGGGTCATCAGTCAGCTTTTGATTTCCAGAGCAGGATTCCTAACTGGCAGTTGGTCTGCAGTGGAATGTTTTTTAAGCTCAGGTGCCACCTGAACAGTCATTTTGTGCCTTTTATTCTGTGGAGCCTTTGGAAATAACACCATGGGTTTGTTTTATCTCCCTAAACTTGGTTATGTTGTGCTTGCAGCGACTTGGAGAATTTTGCCGTTGGGGTTGAACAACTTTCCAAACACGAGCTGTAGATTTTAATCCCATTTTTTGCCATTTTGCGCCGTAATTTTCCGAGCCGATTTCGGCGGATATGGAATATCCACTCTATTTGTTTTCAGGGGAGTGTTTGTGCCAGACAAATCAATTTGTCACGCTCAGAGCCCGGGCCGTGCACAGCCACCACTTGGGCTGGGTGACCCCAGAGTTATATTTAATAATTCCATCCCAAACCTCAGCTCTGGAGTCTCTTGGATCAGGAGGACAAACCAGAGCAGGGAGTGATTAAATTGTGTTTTATTGTCTCCACAGCTGAAAGGATTCGAGGAACTTTGACACCTCCTGTAGCCAAGGAGGATGATTTAATGAGCTGCAGGAAGTGAGGGTTAGGGAGATAAAGACCACTTAAAACAACACCTGAACTGTCCCACGGACAGAATTCCAGCAGAATTCCTTGTCCACATCAATGCCTGGTGGTGGAGGAGGAAGGAGAAGCTTGAGGAAGCGCCGAGTGTTTGCACAATGGCAGTGCAGGGGGCTTCTGCAAGGGAAAATAACTGGAATTTTCCTCTTGGAATATCTATTGCTCGGTAATTCGACAGGGAATTTTGCAGGGAGTGCTCAGTGCTTCCCAAAAAGCTGGGGGCGATGCCAGGGAGGTGCGTGGCCTGAGGATGGAGGTGCGTGGCTATTGTCTGGAGCCCATGCAGGGATGGGATGAGCCAGGGCTTGGGAAATCGGGATTGCGCGGATAACACCGGGCTAACTGCTCCGAGAGGGGTTTCTGTGCTCCGTGGCAGGACCGAAGGCAGCTCCGTCAGTAATGGCAAACGTGGTTTATTATTCTAACGATGCACTTTGGGAACAGCGCGTTTGGGGAGCGGGGGGGATCCTGCTTTTCCTCCTGCAAGTTCTCCCTGGGAAGTTTGAGCCAGATTTTAATATTCCTCTTTAGGAATACGTTTATTGAGACGAGGAACCACAGATGTCATTGCTCTGCATTAACCTGGAACTCCTTATAGGGAGGAAAAAGAAGGAAAAACAGAGCCTCCAAAAGTAATGCCAGGCAGGGAAGTGAAACTAGCTGGACTCGAGGAAGTGTGGGAATAATTCCTGCTCCAAGTCGTCCCGGGGGCTTTTCCCTCAGCTAATCCACGACTCTCTGTTGTGATTCGCAGGGTGGGGGGGGAAAGAAAGTAAAGCCCCATTGCCTTTGAGTCTCGAATTCCACAAACATGGCTTCTCCCCGTGTTCCAGCCCGGGGAGGGCTGCAGGGAGAAAGGAATGTAACCTGAGCTCCAGCCCTGACATTCCCAGGGAGCATTTTTCACATGAAAGGCTTTTGTGAGCCCAGGGAAGGCCCAGCAGCGTGTTTGATGTGTGCAGGTGTTGGGCACGGGGCGCTCCGCCGGGGCTGGAGCCTCTGACCTGCGCCGGGAGAGCCGGCACTGGGAGCACCGGGGAGCCAAACTCCCCCGGAGTTCCCTCCGCCTTGGGTCGTGTTTGTGAAGTGATTTAAGAGCTGCTCCTTCCACTGAACAATGCACATTCATTGCGGGCACCTGGGGGGGGCTTTTGAGTTTTTCTGCTTTGTTTTCCCTTTTTTTAGGACGGTGGCCAAAAGAAAATGAATTTGCCCACATCACCTAAAATTTTGGGAAGAGTTTCCAACCCCTTCCCCAGCAAATTCATCACAAATTTATCCTACTTTGAGTGTGAGGCCCCATAAAATAAAGGGGTGACAGACCAGGGAGCAGTTTTGCCCCCGAGAATTCCCTGGGTCTGTCACATTCAGCTTATTTCGGGTTTTTATCCATTAATCAGGGCCCACATCTTCCTGATTCCCTTCGATTTCTGCTCCTTCTATTTAAAGCCTGGAATTTTACCTCCATTTGGGAGCATCTGCTCTGGATTGCCCACTCTGAGTGTCTCTGAATAGCGTGTGGGTGGCAGCAGAATCGGAGAAAAGCGGGATTTTTCTCATTGCCCATTCCCATGGCCCAGAAAAAAAGGGAAAAAATCTCCCATCTCTGCATCTCCCAATAAAGCAAAGTCCGTTTAAAGGATTTAAATCCTCGCTTTTCATTTTGCCATTAGTTTGATTAGGGCTTGGCCTGCATTAGAGCAACAAATTAATACATCTTTAACGAGGGAATCACAAATCCAGCTCGGGTTAAAGTCCATTTTTTTTTTTTGATTTGGGATGTTCTGTGAGGGAATTCTGACAAATATTGTGGGGGGGTTTTAAACACAGCCTGGTTTTGGAGTGTGGGGAAGCCACAGAATTTTGCTGTTGGTGGTTGATCACCAAAAAAATGGAATTAAATCGAGGCTTTATTCAGAGGATGTTTTGGAGCTGCTCAGGTGAGGCACACCTGGGGATGCCGGCATGGATCCCAGTATTCCCAGTAGAAATGTGTGCTAGGGAAGAAACCCCATACCAGAGAGAATTTGGGAAGGAGGGGATTATAATGCAGAATAGCCATTCAAGAGATAAAAAAGAGGGGGAAAATCCCCCAAAAGAGCAATTCTCAGCCTTTTGCCCCATAGTGCTGCACCAAGGAAGTGATGTGTCAGGTCCGGAGCTCTCGCCATTCCAGGGCAGGGAGCCCGGGTTTGCCACGGGATATGCCAGGAAAGAGGGAAAATGATGATGGGCTTTGGGTGTCGGCTCGGCTCCGTTGCTCCACGTTCCCTCCTTGTTATTCCAGGTCTCTGGGGGGCTGCAGGACCCTCGGACCCGACCCCGGCTCCCTGTGCCATATCCCTCTTGTTTTCCCTGCTGAAAACTCCGGACTCCACAAAAGCGACTCCTTCCCTCTTTTCCATCCCCGAGGTTTCGTAATTATGATTAAGGAGAGCAGGAATGCTGTTACCTCCCATCCTTCCAGCTATGTTTACCCGGGATCCTCCTCCTCTCCCAGCCCTATCCCGGCCGCTTCCGTGGGGGCAGCCAGAGCCCCAGGCTGTGCTGTTGGGAAGTGGCCTGAGCCCCCCTGGAGCGGGAGGCTGACTTGCAGAGCACAGAGGTTCCTCCGGGGCTCGGCTCTTACTCGCAGGAGCAAACTGAGTGTAGCTGCCAAGGCCACTGCGGGGCTGCAGCCACCTGCAGTCCCTGGGCTGTGGAAATCTGGGAGCCCAGGGCCTGGCTGGTAAGGAAAGAGATAAAGCAGCCTGGCCATTCCCAGTGATAACGGAGACTGGGAGCTGGAGGTGCTTTGGGCAGCCTCGTTCCACGTCACCTCATCTGCAATAGATGTAATAAATCAGAATCCGCTCCGGGGCCGCAGCCACCCGAATGTCACCTGCAGGGGGGACACCCCTGCCTGCCCTTCCCAAATCCAGCAGCAGCAGGGATGCTGCTTGACGTTATCCTGTGGATGTCAGGGATCTGGGAACAAAGTGGGGCTGTTAAACCAGGCAACTTGGGCCTGGCTTGGACTTCAGTGGGAGCACAAAGCCTGCTCAGGGAAAAAAACTGAGGTACAATTTGGCTTCTTCCCACTGGATTTGTGCTCGTGCCACTCCCAAATTCATGTGGATTTTTGTCAGAGGCAAATGCAGCTTCCATGGCCCGAATTCCCAGGGAACATGGAATAGGCACAAATAACCCCAAATTTTCCTCTTTTACCACTTATTTCTGCAGTAGCCAAAAAATAATGGGATTTAATTTTTTTATCACTCCCCCTCTGTAATTTAAACAGAATTTGGGAATGACTTGGATA